GAGAGGACTCTTTAAAGTAGAGACACTACATACTGATATACACCTGAACATCAGCAGGAGAGGACTCTTTAAAGTAGAGACACTACATACTGATATACACCTGAACATCAGCAGGAGAGGACTCTTTAAAGTAGAGGACACTACATACTGATATACACCTGAACATCAGCAGGAGAGGACTCTTTAAAGTAGAGACACTACATACTGATATACACCTGAACATCAGCAGGAGAGGACTCTTTAAAGTAGAGACACTACATACTGATATACACCTGAACATCAGCAGGAGAGGACTCTTTAAAGTAGAGACACTACATACTGATATACACCTGAACATCAGCAGGAGAGGACTCTTTAAAGTAGAGACACTACATACTGATATACACCTGAACATCAGCAGGAGAGGACTCTTTAAAGTAGAGACACTACATACTGATATACACCTGAACATCAGCAGGAGAGGACTCTTTAAAGTAGAGACACTACATACTGATATACACCTGAACATCAGCAGGAGAGGACTCTTTAAAGTAGAGACACTACATACTGATATACACCTGAACATCAGCAGGAGAGGACTCTTTAAAGTAGAGACACTACATACTGATATACACCTGAACATCAGCAGGAGAGGACTCTTTAAAGTAGAGACACTACATACTGATATACACCTGAACATCAGCAGGAGAGGACTCTTTAAAGTAGAGACACTACATACTGATATACACCTGAACATCAGCAGGAGAGGACTCTTTAAAGTAGAGACACTACATACTGATATACACCTGAACATCAGCAGGAGAGGACTCTTTAAAGTAGAGACACTACATACTGATATACACCTGAACATCAGCAGGAGAGGACTCTTTAAAGTAGAGACACTACATACTGATATACACCTGAACATCAGCAGGAGAGGACTCTTTAAAGTAGAGCACACTACATACTGATATACACCTGAACATCAGCAGGAGAGGACTCTTTAAAGTAGAGACACTACATACTGATATACACCTGAACATCAGCAGGAGAGGACTCTTTAAAGTAGAGACACTACATACTGATATACACCTGAACATCAGCAGGAGAGGACTCTTTAAAGTAGAGACACTACATACTGATATACACCTGAACATCAGCAGGAGAGGACTCTTTAAAGTAGAGACACTACATACTGATATACACCTGAACATCAGCAGGAGAGGACTCTTTAAAGTAGAGACACTACATACTGATATACACCTGAACATCAGCAGGAGAGGACTCTTTAAAGTAGAGACACTACATACTGATATACACCTGAACATCAGCAGGAGAGGACTCTTTAAAGTAGAGACACTACATACTGATATACACCTGAACATCAGCAGGAGAGGACTCTTTAAAGTAGAGACACTACATACTGATATACACCTGAACATCAGCAGGAGAGGACTCTTTAAAGTAGAGACACTACATACTGATATACACCTGAACATCAGCAGGAGAGGACTCTTTAAAGTAGAGACACTACATACTGATATACACCTGAACATCAGCAGGAGAGGACTCTTTAAAGTAGAGACACTACATACTGATATACACCTGAACATCAGCAGGAGAGGACTCTTTAAAGTAGAGACACTACATACTGATATACACCTGAACATCAGCAGGAGAGGACTCTTTAAAGTAGAGACACTACATACTGATATACACCTGAACATCAGCAGGAGAGGACTCTTTAAAGTAGAGACACTACATACTGATATACACCTGAACATCAGCAGGAGAGGACTCTTTAAAGTAGAGACACTACATACTGATATACACCTGAACATCAGCAGGAGAGGACTCTTTAAAGTAGAGACACTACATACTGATATACACCTGAACATCAGCAGGAGAGGACTCTTTAAAGTAGAGACACTACATACTGATATACACCTGAACATCAGCAGGAGAGGACTCTTTAAAGTAGAGACACTACATACTGATATACACCTGAACATCAGCAGGAGAGGACTCTTTAAAGTAGAGACACTACATACTGATATACACCTGAACATCAGCAGGAGAGGACTCTTTAAAGTAGAGACACTACATACTGATATACACCTGAACATCAGCAGGAGAGGACTCTTTAAAGTAGAGACACTACATACTGATATACACCTGAACATCAGCAGGAGAGGACTCTTTAAAGTAGAGACACTACATACTGATATACACCTGAACATCAGCAGGAGAGGACTCTTTAAAGTAGAGACACTACATACTGATATACACCTGAACATCAGCAGGAGAGGACTCTTTAAAGTAGAGACACTACATACTGATATACACCTGAACATCAGCAGGAGAGGACTCTTTAAAGTAGAGACACTACATACTGATATACACCTGAACATCAGCAGGAGAGGACTCTTTAAAGTAGAGACACTACATACTGATATACACCTGAACATCAGCAGGAGAGGACTCTTTAAAGTAGAGACACTACATACTGATATACACCTGA